CAGAGATTAGGATTCCCTCAGTAGTGATAATGTCAAGCAACAATGAAGGCTAGATAGTGGACTACCTTATAAGTGCCTGGTGGAGTAGCTGCAAGTTAGTAGCTGGTTTATGCTGTTTGAATCACTGATGGATAATTATGAGGGATCCCAGACCTGTTGTACATTACTGATAGTGAGGCTGCCAGGAAACATAAAATATATTCGATATGTGGAAAATATGTTTAATAACACATGGAGCTCATAAAGAACAACCATTTTTCTTTACAATTGTACTGATTTCTATATAAGCGAGATCATACATTGCAAGCTTACTTTATTATTTACATTCCGCCTTTAGAGAATTGACTTTCAAACAGCTGTTGGGTCATATTTATTGTTGTCTGCCTTGGGTCTTGGGAGAAAGGCGGAATACCAATAAAGTAAATTAATAAATATTAGTGAGCATCTGCCATTGTCTAAGGCATTGCAATATCTGTTGTATGTGAGCTTTTTGAAAATTATTTTTAAAACATTTACATAAATGAACATGTGGTCTCCACCTGGCATCTAATTGGAGTAAAGAAGGAAATATGCACAAAGTTATAAACCCACAAAACTAGTACATTGGGAAGCCAATCATATAAGATAAAAGTACAGCAAAGTCTTATAAAATCTGAAAATGCTCCAGTCTCTCAAATCAACAAAGGATGACTGCTTGATTTAGATTTAGTAAACAACATGTCAAAAGTATTAATGTTAGTTTTGCAGTGTATGAATCACTGCAAGTTTTTTTATTTCTAGTGCTAAAGTACTAAAACTGAAATATGTTGAGGAAAATATGACGCATATGTTTTAAACATTGTATTCAAAGAAAAGCATTTATTAATGTAAAGAAAATAATATGATTTCCTGGGGCTCAGAAAATTTTAAAAATTTAAAATATTGTTTGAATTGTTTGATTTTTAAAAAGGGAAGTACTATACAGAATAGCTTGCTCTCCTTGTGAGTTAATGAGATTTCGAGGTAAAATTTGATTATACCGGATTCCATAGTATTGAAGCACGGGAGTTAAAGTGGTATGAAACTGCATTGATCATATAGTGTAATTGCACCCACAAGTTTGTTTGTTTTTGTGTGTGTGAAAATCCTAGAGAGAGGTTTCTCAGGCTGGATCTGCATTTCTCTATATCCAAGGATCTGATCCCAAATTATCTGCTTATCCTAGATTATCTGGTAATGTAAACTCATATAATCCAGTTCAAATCAGATAATCTGGGATTAGATCCTTGGATATAGGGCAGTGTAAATCCAGCCTTAGTGACTGTTCCCACTCCCTGGGATGTCTTTCCTTAAGAAGCCTCTTCCTTTTTTCCTTTCACCAACATTTTTGTTTAAGCAGGTTTTTAATGTATAAGGGGGAACTTTTGGGGGGTGTATTTTATTTATCTTCTAAAACTTTTGCATATTTTCATTGATTTAAAATGTTTTATGAAGTGATTGCAATTGTTGCTAATTTTTTATTGTAAATATTTTTTATTTAGTGATGTTGAACGTCACCATGGGGCCCCACTGTGGGAGAAAGGCGGCATATAAAATAAACAAACAAGTGAATAATTGTTTTGAGGAATTGGAACATTTATAAAAACTACAAGATAATGCAAGAAACCTAGTAGTTAGTTAACAAACATTTCAAATTTATAAAGTCCTTTGGGGTAACCTCAGTGAAGTCAAGAGGACCTAAGCCCGAGTAGATATCTCGATTGTGCTATTAATGCATTTCATGTTAGCTTATATTTGATATAGTTTACTTAGATAAATAAGTAAACTGTTTTTCAGTGTTACATTTGCCTTTCGCCAGCTGAATGCAATTTATCCCTTTATCAGCATTTGATTAATAAAGTATAGGAAGGTGAGGTTGATTTTATCCTAATACCTGAATACTTGATGGAAACAATAAAATGCAAATTAGGATGTACTAATTGCAATGAAAACAACATGACCTTTGTTTTCATTTCCCTTGATATATTTTTAATGCAGACATTGCCAATCCAGTTGACATGTTCCCATTCCTCTACTTTTATGGGTTCCAAATTGATAAAACATATAAATTATACTTTCCAGTCCTTTCCCTCATTCCTTTGAAAAAATCTATTCAAAGAAACACCTTTTTGATTAATTCACAGACAGTACGATGCCTTTTCCCCTATGGCCTCAATAAGCTTTGAATAGTGATTTTTGCCTTTCTTTATATACATTAATTAGGATTTTTCACAGTTATCAATAGTGATAGGATGTGGGACTTTGCCTTATTTTGTTATTTCTGATCTCCTTTCCTTCCCAATTTCTTCAGCACACTGTTTGCATTGAGAGAAATGTACCATCTTGCCAATCTGAATGGGGTCATCTGCTACTGTTTTTCATTCACAAGATCTTTTTAAAGAGCTGGAAGATCCTATCACAAGTGTCTTACCTAATTTGACTTTCACATCTGTTTCTTTTACTATTTACAATACAGTTCTAACACACCCTTCACTAACACACAGTAATATGCCTTAGTGCCATTCTGATTGGTAGTTTTAAGTGGTATTAATACTCATAGGCTGGTTGATGGCATTTGATCTCTTTCCATGGGTGCAACTTGTCATTTGGCTCATTGGATGTATCCCAGAAGTACCTTTACCTCTAGTTATGCCATTCCCAAAAATTAAAGGCACTGGTTGTTCAGCATATATCATATTTGAAAAAGTGAGAACATGCCAGGATCCCTGGGAACACCATATGTCAGACTGAAATGCCATTGCCCCTTTTCATAGAACCATTGAGTTGGAAGAGACCTCATGGGCTATCCAGTCCAACCCCCCTGCCAAGAAACAGGAAAATCACATTCAAAGCATCCCTGACAGATGGCCATCCAGCCTCTGTTTCAAAGCTTCCAAGGAAGACCACACTCTGGGGCAGAGAGTTCCACTGCTGAACAGCTCTCACAGTCAGGAAGTTCTTCCTCATATTCAGGTGGAATCTCCTTTCATGTAGTTTGAAGCCATTGTTCTGCGTCCTTTAATTTCTTCTGTGAACCTTCTTGGGTTATACATGTAATAATATCTGATTGGACTTGCTTAAATAAATAGTTATTCCAGTTTCTATCAATAATTGTTAATGGCCACTGTTTCACATTTTCTGGTCCATATTTTCAGAATTTTGTGGTAAGGGGTGATCTTGATCTTGGAACATTCACAAGTTTGGTCAGCACACACAAAATGGGAACTTGCATTAGCTGCTGTAATACAGGCAAGACTTGGATTTTAGGGAAACACGAAGAAGAATCTTTGCCTGTTGGATTGGTGGATTGCATTAGGTAGATGTGGAATAGAGTGATCACTTCCCCAGTTTCAAGGAAGTAAGAAGAAAATTACTTTCCTGTTCCGTGCATGAAGTGTATAATTTATGCTTGCATTTTCACACTAATATGAAATATCTGAATACATACATTATGTAGAAAGTTGTGATTTATTGCAATTTAAAAGCATTCAGATTTACAAGTGCTGGCAATCGGCAGTATTTCTCTTTTCTGAACATGTGATTCCTCTTCATGGTCTCTGCGCCTCCCACAAATGGGTAGAGAGTCCATTTGGAACCTCCTATTGCTGAGTAGCTTGGAAGGACATTACTCCCCACTTGTGCATTGCGCATGTCCCAGCCAGCCAAGCTTGCTTATGAACTTCTTAAATAGCCTGTTCCAGTTCATCTAGAAGCATATGCTACAAGAGCTGTCTTGACATCAGCTTTTCTTCAAGGTGTTTCTCTTCCTGTTTGGGAAGAGAAACATTTAGCACTAGAGACTTGACTACAGGGCCAAACTGTATGCTCATTTTGGATATCCCTTCCTATCTTCTTTTCTATAGCGTTCTCTCCTACTATCCTCTTGTAAGCACCACAGTCTTCCTTTTGTGCAAGTCAGAGATCATGGAGAAGAAAAATAGGTTTTTTTCATGTCAGGAGCGACTTGAGAAACTGCAAGTTGCTTCTGGTGTGAGAGAAATGGCCATCTTCAAGGACATTGCCCAGGGGATGCCCAGATGTTTTACCATCCTGTGGGAGGTATTTCTCATGTCCCTGCATGAGAAGCTGGACCTGATAGATGGGAGCTCACCCTGCCCTCTGGGTTTGAACTGCCGACCTTTCAGTTAGCAGTTCTACCAGCACAAGGGCTTTAACCCATCTCACCACTGGGGGCTTGACTACAGAGCCAAAGTGTATGTTCATTTTGGACTTCCTATCTTTTCTATAGCTATCTCTCCTACCATTCTCTTGTATGTACCACTGTCTTCCATTTGTGTAAGTGAGGGATCATGAAGAAGAAAAATGGGTTACTCACCTGTAACTTCATCAAACGTTCATCTGTGACCTTACACAAACATGCCCCACCTCCCCTCTTTCCAGTGCCTGTAATTTCATGTTGAACCTCAAAACTGAGGCTCCTTCTACACTGCCGTATCATGCAGTTTAACTGCATTGAACTGCATGATATGAGTCCACATTGCCAAGTTACTCAACTCTAGAAGGTTCTGAATGTGGTCGCTGTGCAGACAGGAATTTTATTTGTGGAAGGTACAGATTAACTACATGAACTAAAAGTTACAGGTAAGCAACCTATTCTTTCTGGTATATTTCAAGGTCAAACATATCTTTACCTTAAAAAGAAGGATTCTGGCCACATATTTTTTTTCACAAATTGCAGATGGTATGGGCCTATGTTTCTTTAAACATTTTTATTTGTATATTTTACTGCAAACATCAATTCTTTAAACACTTATAGTAAAATGGAAGAAAGTGATGTGGTATTTTCATGTATTAGATTGATAATTGATCCTTTACTCTTGCACCCAATGCACAAGACTATTTTAGGCAGCATTTCCACACTGTAGAAATCTTTAATTCTGCATCTTCTCTAATGTTAGTTGTTTATCAACAGTTTTTCTCACAAAATGCATAGTTTCCCCCCTTTTCTTTTTGTTGTTAAGGTGACAGGATGGCTGAAGATGCTGGGCTCACTAAATTAAGCTTTGAGTTTTGGCTGCACAAGACTCTTAAGTGGGGTCAGAGCACCACTTTGGAATCTCAGCAAGATGTCTGCCTTCACTTGCCTGAATTGCAGGAATTTCTATTGCAGATTTATGGAGCTTTGAAACATATGGTAAGTGAATTAGCTGGAAGAATGAACTGTTTGGAAGACTGTTACAGAAACATTCTGCACCCCGCATTTTGACAAGACAAAAAGCTAACAGTAGCAAAGAGCCTTGTAGTATTGACCTAATGTATTGCTGGATCACAGAAGCAAATTGGGGGAACAGCCACAGGTAATGGAAACAGGAATGTATTTCCTGTGTTCTTGATTTATTGTGAAAGGAGCTTTTTCTTCTTGATTGGTTACATTCTCACATGATATTTCCTACCCAACACGGTAACCTTTTTAAAAAGACTTTATAATAAACAAGTATTTGATTCTGGTTTTCAGGTCATAAATTGGATTATGACCCTTAGCATCCAAAATTATAACTGATCCCTTAAATCATAAACAGTCTGCTGACATATGAACTCTATTGCTGTGGCATATAAAGACATTTCAGGCCACCACCATTGGATCACAAGCTAATATTTCAAGTCATGCCTGGATAATGTTTCTATTGTCTGTGAATTTGTAATTTTTCTGAGATGCCAAACTGCAACTTGGTTAAGCTTTTTTGCTATATTTGTTATGTATCAAAATACTGATACAGAGTTCAGCATAGTATGATACATGAGAAAAGGGATTTTAAAGCAATAATTTTCAAGTGTTACATGGACTATTGAAAAATCAGTGGTAGGTGAGACATTACTTATACATATTTGAGACTGAAGACTATTATTGGAAATGTCTAATTGTAATAAATTACTTGAGAAGCCTGACCTCAACATGACCTTTCAATAGGTATACGGCCAGCTCCAAACGTGGAACAAATCTGAATATGTTGCTATAGCATTCTGAGAGGATTGTATTTTCTGCTATTTGCACATTATTTCAGTTTAGTGCTATTTTGAAAACATTCATTTATTAAGCAGTAATGCTACAAAAGTGGAGAAATTGACTGATTTTGTAATACTGTTTAGAAACTATATCGTACATGTTGAAGTTGACCAACAGATTCCTTCCCCCAATACTTGTTAGAGTTCCTGTTTTTCCTGTCAACTTCTGAGTTCATGAACAGGAGGATTAGAAGCACAACATTACTTTTGTAGCAAAGCTGCTTTCCATTTGGTCAAATTTTGTTTAGGTTTGTAGATATAGTATCTGTTAAATGTCAGGTAGGAACTGACTAAATATAATGTCACACAGAATATAGCAAACAGTAACAGAAAGTTCAAGGCGTCTTTGTACTGTAGTTATTACTCAGCTTTCCATATAATCCATCGCATGATGTAAGAGGCATGCCATTTTGTATGATGTGGTGTTTTATTCATTGGACTTAGCCCATTTCATCTTGAAAAAACCAATACTTTTAATACCACAGTGTTTTCTTTTCTTCATGTAACACCTGAATATCAACGTGGCAACACAGTAGATCAGCTACATTTTTAAAAATGTACAGTAATACATGATGCTACAGCTATACTAAGGGCTGTACCCACTTTTGGGAGGGAGTCCACAATTATGCAGGAGCTATTAACATTGCCTCTTCTTTTTTGGAGGCAAACCAAGACATATTCATTTAGCTTCAAATACTATGTTCTACCTCGTGCATATCATTCTCCTGTTCTTGAACACACTTATGGACAGGAAAACTCAGAAATTTAACAAGCTTTGGGGGAGGGTTGCTATTGGTCAACATCAGAGTCTACATATCTGATAACCATAAGCACAAAAAACTTTCATGATTACAGAAGGCTTTCATGGCAAGTGCTAAACTGGGGAAAGGAATGTGCACATAATACATACCTCACCGTGAACACAGCCCTGTGTCCAACAGCATTCCAGATTTGCAAATGAAACTTCTAGCTTCCTTGCCAAATTCCTCCTTAAAGTCAGTGCTTCATTCTAATAGGTTGTCTTTGCAAAAGTTTCTATTGCCCTCTGAAGAATAGGTGAGATTAACTATAATCTCACCTGTGTCTTTGAAGGTCCTGTACTCTATACAAGTTGAGTATCCCTTATCCAAAATGCTTGGGATCTGGTGGTTTGGATTTTGGATTTTTTAAGATTTGGAATACCTGTATTTGCATAGTTTTGAGTCTGCGTGATTTTGAGACTGCATAATTTCTTTTTCAGAACTGTAAGACTGCAGTCCAACAGTTTCCATTGATTGGCCAGTTATTGGGAAGACTTTGTTGGAATCCCCTTGTCGTTGGCTATGGTGAGCATTTGAAATTAGTTATGTGAAATAAACATATTTATTCTTGAATGTTGTTGTTCTTGGTAACTTTCACAAAGACATGTCTACCCTTTATACCAGGGGTCCTCAAACAATGGCCCGAGGGCCAGATCTGGCCCTTCAAGGTCATTTACCCGGCCCTTGCTCAGGGTCAACCTAAGTCTGAAACAACTTGAAAACACACAACAACAACAACAACAATCCTATCTCATCAGCCAAAAGCAGGCCCACGCTTCCCATTGAAATACTAATAAGTTTATATTTGTTAAAATTGTTCTTCATTTTAATTATTGTATTGTTTTTAAGTGAGGTTTTTTTGCACTACAAATAAGATATGTGCAGTGTGCATAGGAAATCATTCTTTTTTTCTTTTTTCCCCCCCAAATTATAATCCGGCCCTTCAACAGTTTGAGGGACTGTGACCTGGCTCTCTGTTTAAAAAGTTTGAGGACCCCTGCTTTATACTCATGTATTAAGTCTAGAAATGTTAGTCAGCCCCAAAACCTGGATCGACTTATTAATGTGTCAATGTACTTCATCTCTTATAAAAATAGAACTTTGTTTCTCTCTGAGCATAGTGGCAAAAACGCCTAAGCTTAGTCTCGGGAGAACCTAAAAAAGGCGCTGACCCCTTCCAGTCTGCTCTTTTTGAAAATAGTAGCAAAGACAGCTCTTTGGTTCATCTTTGGTGATCAAGTTGACACTGTATTTAAAAAAGAAATGATCCCTTTGAGTAGAGTGGTGAAAAGCCCCTTTGAATGCTGGAAAACAGTTGTGGTGGTTCCTTTTTGGTATTTTCCCTCAATTGATCATTGAAAGAGGGAGGGAGATGTTGGCAGGCTGGAATGTGTCCATAGATGGGCAACTAGAATGATCAAGGTTCTGGATCATTCTGTCTATGAGGAGGAGTTTAAACAGCTGGGCATATTTAGCCTGCAGAAGAGAAGGTTGAGAGGAGACAGGATGGCCATATATAAATATGTGAGGGGAAGTCATAGAGAGGAGGGAGCAAGCTGTTTTCTGCTGCCCTGGAGACTAGGACATGGAGCAATGTCTTCAAACTACAGGAAAAGAGATTCCACTTGAACATTAGGAAGAACTTCCGAATGGTGAGAGCTTCTTCAGCAGGGGAACTCTGTGCCTCAGAGTGTGGTGGAAGCTCCTTCTTTGGGGACTTTTAAACAGAGGTTGGATAGCTATCTGTCAGGAGTGCTTTGAATGCAATTTTCCTGCTTCTCGGCAGGGGGTTACACTGGATGGCCCATGAGGTCTCTTCCAACTCTATGATTCTATGATTCTAGATAGCGCTTCTTTTAGGTTCTTCCAGAACTGAGCTCTCACCTTCTATCACTCTACTCAGAGAAGAGGATAAAAGTTAATACTCTACCTTACCTTTTATTTTTCAAAGGCATAATTCCCTTCTTCAGGTAGAGTGATAAAATAACTTTTTGAATGCCTGGGTGGGAAAACAGCAGTGGCTAGGGGTGGTTAGTTCCATGAGGCAGCACTGGCATGTCCCCTTCTCTGTAGAATGATCCTCAACTTATTGACAAGTCATCAAATATCAAAATCCATAATTTTGGCCCCGAAACCTGCCTCGACCTGTACATACAGTTTTACATACAAGTACATATGATAAAACAGAAAGTTTAACATGTCTGAAGAGGCATATACTAAACAAAACATTCCATTATAAAGTAACATGATCCAAATAAAATACATCATTGTGATGTGAGGTCTCATGGCATTTGAAGAATGATTTAACAGGGCCAACCCAGGTTCTTCCTATAGGGTTTCCATAGTTATTTCTAAGTTGAAAACAGGCTCATGGTACTACTAAAATAATCTTTGTGTGTCAAAACCTTGCTAAGATTAAGGAAATAATCACTTAATAGAAAGTAATTGATATAGTGTAAAAGAAAGTGATTCACCATTTGTATATTTGAAGATGAAATAATAAGTTGCATAAGGTGCCCATTAATTATTGAAATAAGTTTGTGTAATGTTGGTATTTTATAAATACTTCAATGTATCATTAAAAGGGAGGAGACATGACCAAAGTAATTGGGACTGATCCAGAGAAAGTCACACAGGCATTCATTCCATCAAAATTAATGGGATTTACTTAAGTCATGACTAGTGAATTTCATTGGAATCAAAGGGGCAAAAGTGTAACTAATTGCCTTTGACTTCAATCCATAATTGTATACAATTGTACCCTTTTCCTATTAACGTGTGTATTATAATTATAAAAAACAAGAAGAAACGCTGTCTATATGCGATCACTGGAATGACTTTGAAATCGTGTAATGCAACATTAAGGATAACTATTGACTTTGATTCATGGAATTTTTGTTTATTAATATGAGCAAAAAAATTGTTCTTGCTCTACTTTGATTTTTTTTTAAAAAACTTTTCTGATTTGGATTACAATCTGCAGATGAATGCCAGAAGATTCTAATGTGGTGCTTATGTTGTCTGTACAGTGGTGAACCACAGAGCCCAGTGGAATTGAAGGCCAACAGCTGGATACAAGTAAGCAAATGAATCCTCTCCCTGACTGCTTTAAATTAACTTGATTATTTAAAGGTGCAGCATCTACAGCAGAGACAGTGTGTCATTTTTAGAAACCACTCCAGAGACATGCTAGATTCACATTGCATTTAAATACATTCTACTTTAACTAAAACAAAGCTGTGCCGTCTCTCATTCTGAATGTTAAAGAATATGTAGCATATAAACCAAAGTCATTTTAATAGCTCTTAATACACGGAGCCTAAACTCTGGTAACTTCAAATGAAAAAGTCTCCAAATCAGCAATCCAGAAAGCGCTATAAAAGCAGACTTTCAATTAGGAAAAAATAATGCAGTCTGGAGAGATGCCATTATTTGTTTTGAAAACAATTCATATATGCTCTATAATTTTGTCTCTTTGTTTTTGTTGAATCTTTCTAGCCTTAGGAGAAACTAATTGTATCCAAGTTTTACTCAGAGACAATGGATGCAAATATTTGTCTGTAGTTCAAAACCTTAGTTAAATGAATCCACAGTTGGTTAAATGATAGTCAGAAGTTTATAATATAGACCTTTGCAGTTGTTGCTGTTTGAAAACAATTCATCTTACATGTTTAATTCCTAATTAACAAATAATTGATTAAACCCTTGTAGAGCATGATTCTCAGTCTATTTTATTTTCTTACAACCAATTCTCCATATAGGGTTATTGGGGGAAAATTAGCAACATTTTGTTACTTTCATATAAAACCATGTTCTGTTTTGGTCTAGCACAGACATGGGCAAACTTAGGCCCTCCGGGTGTTTTGGACTTCGACTTCTACAATTTCTAACAGCTGGCTTTTCGGAATTGTGGGAGTTGAAGTCCAAAACATCTGGAGGGCCTAAGTTTGCACATGCCTGTTCTAGCAGCTCATGACTTATTTAACCAGGATATTCCTGAGTTTAGTCCATTTGTACATAATCCCTTTGCTCACATTTAATTCCCCTCTTTATGCAAAAGGTAAAAGAATCAAGGTGCTTCAATCAAACAGTTTCCTGTAATTATTTTTTTTGTCATGTCAGGAGCGACTTGAGAAACTGCAAGTCGCTTCTGGTGTGAGAGAATTGGTCGTCTGCAAGGACGTTGCCCAGGGGATGCTTGGATCATTTGATGTTTTTATCATCCTTGTGGGAGGCTTCTCTCATGTCCCCGCATGAGGAGCTGGAGCTGATAGAGGGAGCTCTTCCGCCTCTCCCCAGATTCGAACCTGCGACCTGTCGGTCTTCAGTCCTGCCGACACAGGGGTTTAACCCACTGCGCCACCGGGAGCTCCATCTGTAATAAATGAACCAGCAAATAAAACTAATCGATTCATATATCAATCTGAAATTTGTGAAGAAGCTTTTGTTCATTCAAAATTGAGGAACTATATTTAATCTTAAATTTAGTTGGTGGGAAGTAGTTAATTTCAGACTCTGTTTTGTGGAGTTAGCTTGGACCCATTAGTTATCACTGAGATAAACCACAACTGTGTGTTCAGATGACATGTTAAATAGTGTTTGTGTGTGTGCCTTTGAATTTTCATAAACTGGTGGCAAGCCTATACATTTCATAGGGTTTTCTTAGGTAATAAATAATCAGAGGTGGTTTTGCCAGTTCCTAATTCTGAAATATAGCCGGTGGCACCAGAGATTTGTTGGCAGTCTCCCATCCAGATGTAAACTAGAATTGATGTTACTTATCTTCCAAGATCAGACAGTATCTGGTGTATATAAAGCTTGCTAAATTGTAGTTCATCAAAAATGAAGCTCAGGCAGCTGAGAAGAACAGCTCCTTCTCTCCTGACCTTCAGGAAAAAATTTAAGACGTGGCTTTTGACAAGTATTTGGAGCAGTACAATAAGTGACCACAAATCAATGTAACTGACAAATGGAACAGCCCAGGATTATGTTTTGGATGGCGTGATTTTAATTGATGTTTTAATAATTCATGTTTTAATTGTTTGGTTTTAATTGTAATTGTTTATTTGATATATGTGTGTATGGCATCAAATTGCTGCCTGTTATAAGGTCGCCTTGAGTATCCTCCAGGGTGAGAAAAACAGGATATAAATATGGTAAATAAAAAAATGAACCTGAGGATTTCTCAGAGTATTCTTATAATGCAATGATTTGATGTTGTGATTAACTGGGCCACTGTCTCTTAACATTCATTTATATTGGAGAACTGTTCACTTATGAATGACACCAAATGAGACTTCAATTAAATAATAATAAATTATTATAATTCCAGTTATCATAGCAATATTGGTTACTTAATTATTTCCTGTTTAAAACGTTTGCTGTTTTTCCAAAGTAGAAAAAGCCCACTTCTGTTGGAGGTTCTCAAGGTATATTTGTGAGATTTATATTAAGGCAGCTTGAGGTCATAATAACTCTGGATACTCTAGATCAGGGGTCCTCAAACATTTTAAACAGAAGGCCAGGTCCCAGTCCCCCAAACTGTTAAAGGGCTGTATTATAATATGAAAAAAAGCATGAATGAGTTCCTATGCACACTGCATGTATCTTATTTGTAGTGCAAAAACACTTTAAAWATACAATAATTAAAATGAAGAACAATTTTAACAAATATAAACTTATTAGTATTTCARTGGGAAGTGTCTGTCTGCTTTTGGCTGATGAGATAGGATTGCTGCTGCTGCTGCTGCTGTTGTTCTTGTGTGTTTTCAAGTCATTTCAGACTTAGGATGACCCTGAGTGAGGGCCAGGTAAATGACCTTGGGAGGCCGTATCTGGCCCCAGGGCCTTAGTTTGAGGACTCCTGCTCTAGATCAATGGTTTCCAAACTGTGTTTTGTGGAACCCTATGATGCCTTTTGTGCAAAGGCATCGTAGGGGTTCAATGAAAAATCTTAAAAATCAATTTTAAAATGGATTTCAAAATACAACCACACAAGTTTGACCATTTAATTGTCTGTAATGGGAAAGAAGGTGAAACATCTACTCTCCAACTCAAGTTGTTTTATCACAGCCTGCCATCTCAGACTGGTGGGACCTCTCCAGGAAAAACACATGGAAGTTCTGAGAAAGGTTCCTCGTGCTCACACTAGAGGATCCTTGGTTTTTCCAGCAACATCCAGAAGGTTATTTGTCTTATAAATACTAGCATACTGCTACTTATTTTTTTCAGTTCAGGGCAATCTCACGTATGTGATTATATTTAAAATATTTGTCTTTGTTTCCAAGCTTACTATGTTATACAGAGCACTCAGGCAATAGAAGTTGAGGAAAGAAGGAAGAACTTTGTGGGTTCACATTGCTTAGCAAAAACCAAGGATAGAGTTAGGATTCTGCTAGGAAAAAAAGGTCTTCTGAATGGTTTCATGACCAAAAAATTTTGGGAACTACTGCTATAGATAGTAGCTTCAAGATCAGCATTGAGGACACTTTGTATATTTTTCCTGAATGAGCATTCAAACTTTTCTAGTGGCACTTGAATATCTAGATTCCAATGCTGAACTTTTCTTTTTGTGAACATATTTACTGTCAACTTGGATCAATTTAGTGTTGTTACACTGAAAACTAGGACGCTTGAACTTTTAGTGATGTGCAGATGAAGGAATTTCAGCAGCTGTTGCCTGTCATGCAACAGGGAACAAGCAACACCTGCTGAAATTCATTCTTCTACACAGCCTTTAAAAATACAGAAGTTATCTCCAATTTTCACTCTGGCAATTCTAGACCATTGTACATCAAGTTAGCGATCAGATCTTCCAATGCAATTTCTGACTTGTTAACCAAATTGCCTTCCACCCATGTTGTTATTTTTAAAAGATGCTAAATACGTTGGGAGATCCAAACATGGCTCCCTCAGATGTTTAATTATGCCCATAGTGTTTGTTCTGTAATAGCCTTTGAAGGCATCCGGTCTTTAATGCCACAAAAGACTGGTCAGTTCTTAGACTAGGAAAGAAGACTCCTTTGGAAATAACTTGGACATAATTTATTTTGAGACAGGACACCAATTAATACTTGCCTCCTTGTGTTTTGCAGAAGGGTTCAACTGTGACTTTCAGACTCATTTGTCTTTATCCTCTGAGTAGCATTCCCACTGTTACATAGTAGCTGCCAGAAATAAAAATACTTTTTTCTTCCCATAACTTAGAATGGAAAGTATGTGCACTACTCTCTGTTAATCTCTGAATTCCATGTTTATTAATTGCGCCATGAACACTGCTTTTCTGAGTTTTGCATTGTATTACACAACCTTTTAATCTGCTTTCAGAAGCAATCGAGCCCTTAGTATGTTTGTGGTTGCTAAATACATGTAAATAGTCATGGATCATGAGGGCAAAGAAGAGTATATGATATCATGAATCAGTGAGTTTCAACACATTTTCTTGGTAGAATAAGTGTTTCTTGGAAATGTTATAGGGCATTCCTCAATGAAGAAAGTACTAATATAGGTTGGGTGTCACTTATTCAGATGTGTTTCTTAGATTTGACTTTTGCAACTGCAAGGCTGTAGAGAGGCTAACAGTCTGAGAAAGGAACAACCAGAAGCACCACTGGCAGCATCCCAAATGAAGAAGCAAGTAGCTGGTGGCAAAAAGTTTTGATTTTTGGAGGTTTGGGGATTTCCAGATTAGGGGGGGGGGTGCTTAATGTACTTGACAAGCTGCCCTAAATACAGTTTATCTATTATTGCTTATCTTCTGCTGGGAAATGTAGGTGTAGATAGAGGTAATTATATCTTAGAACAGATATTTCAAAGACTATTAGTGCAAATTAATGATTCGATTCAGAAACTGGATATTCACATATAGATGTGTCATCTATTGGGGGTGCTTTGAATGCAATTTTCCTGCTTCTTGGCAGGGGTTGGTCTAGATGGCTCATGAGGTCTCGTCCAACTCTACGATTCTATGATTCTATGTCTATGGAAGGGGAAAATCACTTTTCCATGCAGCATTCCCTCCACCCCAAGTAATGTTAATCCTGCTTTCCTCTGTAACTACCCCACTCCATCCCAAATTA